TAGTATAAATTGAGTGAGTGCCTCTCCCAACTTGGCTGTGGTCTGGTTATTTTACAGAGCAGTGGGGAAGAAGGGATGATCACACACCAGATCTCTTGGTCAGTAAATAGTATTGGAGGCTGAGCAGACAAAGAAAGAACTCAGATAATGTTGGGATTTGAGTGGGGAGGAGGGGGCTGCTAGGACAGGGATCAGAAGCAAAGGTCTCAGAGTTGGCCAAATGGGAGACTCATTGCTGTTAATCTTCTCTGTAACACTCGTGTATGACAAGTGAACAGACCCAAGATCTAGAAGTTCAGATGAAGAATTTAGGATTTAGAATTTTTCAAAAGAGACTTTAGATCTTGAGGTAACACGTAGATGTCAGACTTGGGGAGAGATGGAGAAGTAGAAGTAGAAATGAAGATATTAACAATACCTTCCAAATATCCATCAAATCCACTTGGTTCTCTCCCTTTCCTTTAAGTTACCATCATCTCTTGTCTTGACCACTGGTCTCCTTGCATTTTATTTGCTCATGCATAGCACCAGTGTGATCTTTTTAAGAGTCTGAACTAGCTGGGTGTGTTGATGCACACCTATAATCCCAGAGGCTCATAAGGCTGAGGCAGGAGGATCACAGGTTCAAAGCCAGTCTTAGCAACTTAATGAGGCTGTAAGCAACCTAGTGAGACCCTGTCTCAAAACAAAAACAAAAACAAAATCAAAACTCTGGAGATATAGCTTAGTGGTTAACTGACATTAGGTCAATCCCTTGTCCAGCCCCCCCCCCCAAAAAAAAAAGTCTAAATTGGATCACATTGTTTAGATGGTTAAAGCCACCTGTCGGCTTACAAACCTGCCAGCTCTGCTCTTTCCCTGTCTCTCCCAGCCTGCCTTATGGCCCTCCTCACTATTCTTCAGTTACTTCAGCTCCTGATGGGTTCTTTATGTGCTAAGCAATTCCAGCCACAGAATCTTTGGCCATGCTATTCCTCTTTCCCCCCTTTTCTTGGCTGATGCCTACTTATATGAGATGCAATGTATCTTGGAAGCCAAAAAAACGCACACATTCGTGCCAGGCTGCCTGGCCAAATCCAAACTTTTCTACTCATCAGTTGTGTGACTTTCGGTAACTTGATTAAACTCTCTATGCCTTTTGTGTAACATGGAGCTGATAATAAGGTCTTGGGGTGATAATAAGGTTATGGGGACCCAATAGTATATGTAAAGGATCTATACTTAATACCTACTATCTAGAGAAATCTCAGTGTTACTTTCCATTATCTTTGAGGTTTGAGCCTAAAGGTCATTTCCTCTGATTTTGTCTAATCCTGACCCTTTCTTTTCACGCCCTCCCTGGTATTTCATTTCTTTTACACAGAACTCTTCAATATTATATATTTATAAGAATTTATATACCTGTGTACTTATTGCCCCTATTAGACTATATACTCCACAAGGTCAAGGACTTAGCCCAGTATATCACTTAATAATCCATACCTACGGTAGTGACAAGCACATAGGAGACACTCAGCAAATATGCTTTTGAATGAAACTGAGGCTGATGGTTCAGGACTAAGCTTGTGAATGCTGACATTCTGCTGGGAAAGCTTGGGCACCTCAGAGGAACCAAGCTGGGCCACAGGCCAGTGGAATTCCACTACACTACTTTTTAAGATATTATCTTTACATTGTATTTTAAGATGTTGACATATCAAAATCAAATTACTGGACCAAGCTCAAAACTTACATTAATATGCCAGAATTAAATGTTCTTTTTTGGCAGAAATTTTTTTTTTTTCAGATTTGCCATAGGATCTCATCCAACCTGGAATTGGCTTGAATGAATTTTGTAAACGAGACAATCATTGTTCTTTTTCTCTTCCCTGCTCCTCCTGTTCTGTTCTCCAAAGTGACTGAATATTTGACTCAATTCACTGCTTCTGTGGATGGGCTATAGTAGACATGAGCAGCGACTTCCCAGGTGAAAAGCTAAAAATACTGGCTCCTACTTGCATTCCTCACTCCTGTTTGAAATGGGCTTCTTTATCTCTGATTTGTTTAATGCCACTGACTGTTTATTTCATTTACACAGTGTTTTCCCATCCAAGCTTGTTAGACTGTATGGAGAACATCATGTTCAGAAAGAGCAATGGAAAACATACACAGCAACAGAAATGGAAATTTAAACTCCATCAGTTCTAGAATAGCATCAGGTTACTTGCTCTATAGCTCCCCTTTGAATTTCACTACAGAATCTACTCCCAACAGACCTTCTCCTCCTACCCCTCCCCTCCTCTCCCATTGTTCTATTGTTTTGCTTCCTGCTCATTAGAAGCATGGTGGTGACTGTGGCCTTTGGCATCTGTGCATTCAGGGTTAGGGGGATTTCTTATCTCCAGCTTATTTTTCACCCCTATTGATCTATTTCTTACACCTATTTTTCAAGACTACCTTCTTCCAAATTCTTTATTTTGTCCCTTCTTTGGTAAAATTTCTGTTCCCCTCTTCATTTTCTACATTTCTTTCCCTGTCTAGGCTATACTTTAAATGTTTTAAACCCTAATCTGAATTTTAAGGGCAGTGTTTTTATCAGCACCAAGTTGACTGTGTTGGCAAGAAACTCAAATTATCAGTAAAATCTTTATTAAAAATATAAACTGGGAGTTTGGGCTACAAGAGGAAAGCAGGAGTTGGAAAAATCTGTATCTGTATTTTTTTGTCTAACAGATTTGTATGCAATTGAATAATATCAGATAAGGTTCAGGCATCTTATACACTTTGACTTTGCTGATATACCTGCTGTCTGTGCAGTGCCTCAAAGAAAAGTGACTATTCTGTAGAAATGAAAGAATTGGATATAATATTCATGGATTTCATATTTTAGAAAAACCTTAGATTTCATTCTTATAAATTACTTTTTTTATTTTAAGAAGCCAAATATGTAGACCATAATTGCTATATAATTACTCTCTCATATCCTAGATTAAAAAACTGGGAGACCAAGTACAAACAACATGACAGAGGAAAGTTGTGTCTTAAGAACCAAGTATCCTTATGAGAATTATGTTATTGTTGAGGTAGAGTACAGGGTTAATGAGAATAGGCTAGCATATTAAATTTAGAATGCATATTGAAATGGCCAGGCTAAAGAAAAATAATATATGTTATTGCATCTGAAGAGGAAGGTGAACCATAATTCCTATGACATCCATAAATGACATATTCAGAGGTCATCGCTGAAAACTTTTTTCCAGAAAGGTTGCAAAAATAAGTATTTATGTGTGCATGGATGTGATCTGAAAATGTGGCACTGATTCGGGAAGACTGAAACCTGGGAAGCCTGGGTGTAACTGTTCAGGAAAGCGGAAATGTTTTTCTTTGGCTGTTGTTCCTCAAGTTACTTAAATGAGACTCATTGACTATTGATCTGTATATATCGAGATTACAATAAAACATAATGGACCGGTTTCTCTTTCGCCTGGCTCACAGGACTGGCATTTTACCTCTCAGGAGTAACAAATCATGGTCTTGAATCTGGGGAAATATTCTGGGGTCTAGATAATAGTTGATATATTTTTAAGACAATGATGTCAGAAAGAAAAGCATAAACTAGAATGTGACAGTAGCGCTCCTGGGGAAAATAATGACTGCTGCCTAAAGTAGTCAGGCTTTCCCACGTTCAGAAGCTGTCCCACTGCAAGCTGGGTTGAAGCTCCTCACCAAAGTATTCACGTTTCCCTTTACAATGCCACTTATATTCTTTTGATTTGTTTTTTTTCCCCCCCTGGTGACAGATCCTGGCTGCTCTATTTATCTCTTTAATCTAATTTGTGCTATGACATCAAGCTTTAATTCATCATTATTATTTTGCTTCTCTTTAAGCACCCATGGTGTGCCAGGCATTGGATAAAATAGAAAAGATACATTCCCTGCTGTCGCTGGGCTCACACATTTAAACAGAGATGACAGGCAAAATATCCAGTAATTGGCAATAGTAGTCCTCATGCTTTTTTCCCCTTCTCCCTTTTGAAGCAACTTCATCTCTCTGAACAAGCTTAAGAAGTTCCCTGGATCAAAGGTGTCAAAAACCTGGAGGGTTTGAAACAAGTGTCAGAGTAGGCAAACGACTTTCAGATGTGACTCTGCTCCTCGCCTACCCACGTGCTCTTTGCTCTGCACTCCTACCTCACCTGGGTGCACTCTGACTTTACAGCTCCTGGGCTGTCTCAGGTGTCCCTATTTGGCTGGGGAAGGCTCTCTTGCCTGGCCTCCCGGCAGCTTCCCCAGAATTAATACCCCCCACCCCCTACCCCCGCAAATCCTTTAGACAAGATGCCCCAGAGCTAGAGATTTTCTGAGGCTCTGGTTGAGGTGGGTTGACAACCGCTGGGAACCTCTCAACCAGGGATGTTCAGGCAGGTGCGGACCCAGTTCTTGGCGTTTCCCCAGAGATGCCCTCAATGTATATTCTTCATCTTTTTTTCCCCTTCTCTTTGTCTCGCCCACATATCTTGCTAGGACCTTCTTTTGTCATTTTCCTAATAACCCTGAAGCCCTCTCCTGCCTGGGGACTGCAGAGGAACACTGGGCCATTCGGACCGTGCGGGATGGCTCAGTGAGAGTGTGCTTTATCTCTGAATGTTGGCATTCATGACTGTTAGGGTGAGTTATAAGTGGGGGCCAAGAACAACCGGACTCTTTTCCTCTTTTTCTCCCATCATTTCGCGAAACCTGGAGGAGCAAAGCGCTCGCTCTTTTCCGCAGCGCTCAGCGGGTTGGATACCCGGGGCTGACTGGAGAGTCTCACTCAGACCATACCTGCACCCCGAAGCTTTAAAGTTGCGGAAAACAGTTGCGGGGAGCAGAGGAGGCTAGGTTGCGGTTAATGCATCCGCTGCTGCTCGCCAAAAGGAGCGGGCTAAGTCGAGGGTCAGGCGGGTACGCTGCTGGAGGGAGGGGAGGAGGATCTAGCGGCTGGGAGGAGAGAGAAGGGAGGGGCGGCGGGGAGCAGCTGCTGGGGGAGGCGAGGCGCAAGGTGGCTCCCCGCGGCCCCGCGCCCCGCGGCTCCCGGGGACGCACCAGGCAGCCAATGGCTGCACAGAGGTGTACAGCAGATGGCGTCCGACTGCGCGGTTCCTTCCTTCCTCCTCTTCTTCCTCCTCCTCCAGTGCTGAGGAGCCAGAGTCGCCGCCGGGTTGCCAGACGCTGGAATGGGTGGTCTCCCGACACACACCACCATCTTTCTTGCACTCGAGAAGCTTGGGGCTCGGCGGCTCCCAGAGGCTGCGGCTGCGGCTCGGGCGAGGCGGGTGAGTGCGGCCGCGCTGCGCCCGGAGCTGGGGATGCCGGGTCCACTTGGCCGGCCAGCGGGGGCGTGAGGTGACAGCGCCCGGGGTTGGGGGCGCGCTACCAGCACAGACTTTGCTCTTTCCTCACCCGGCTGCCTCCCTCGCTCCTTCTTGCCTGACAGAGCAGGAACTTGGAAGCGGAGCTTCTTGGACGCCTCTGGCTTGGATCTGCGGAAAGGAAGGCTACCTAGGGCGCAGCGTGCGGGATCCCTTCAGCCGGCTGGCTGGGCAGACTGGGACACCCCCGCTCGCAGCTTGGGAACCGACCTTAGGCAGTAGGATTAGCGATGGGATGGGGGCGTCAGAGCTCTGTTCACTCCACCTCTAGCTTGCTTTGGAGGGTGCCCATAAAGGGAGCCGTGTTCCCCATCCTGCGCCGGGAGCCTAAGAGCCAAAGATTGAGGGCGGGGAGTTCTGTGGGCTTTGCGAACAGGTTAACTGAGGGGATCCCTTTCCATAGCGCTGACTGCGAAATCTGCGCGTGGGCGTTCAGTGGCCCTGGAGGATAGCTGAGCAAGCCAAGAAGTTTTGTATCTTCCTCTGATTTATCGGCAGAGTGTTAGTAGGCTGTAGCAACAGTTTACATTTCCATGTCTGTGTGGGGTCGAGGGTATGCTGGAGAGAATGGGACTTGCGGGTCCGACGTGACAGCCTGTTATTTATCAAGAGAAAACTGGGAATGGTACGCGTGAATGAGAGGCAAGGAGGACGACAAACATATTTTCAAGAGCACCACCCATCTGCACCTGTCACCTTTCGTGCTGTATGTTCCGCTGTATTAAAGTTATTTGAATATGAAAATGAAATCTCCCTTTTTAGGCGTCTGCATGTTTTGACTATTGAAGTTGGGAAGCTTGGAGTGGTGTGTGTGCGTGTGTGTGTGTGTGTGTGTGTGTTGGGGACAGGAACATTAAGCTCTCTGGCTCTTTAAATACAAGAAAAAAAAAAAACTTTATTTAAAGGGAGGGACAGATGATCTAATGATATATATTTTTTTCTTTTTGGAATACCTGAACTCTAAACATCCCTTAAGAGCTCTTGCGATTCAATTCTGTACAGGAAGGTGGAGTTTGTCTAAGATTGTGGGGTTTTGGCATGGTCTAGGGAGGTTTCCAGTGTTCATTGGAGTGCTCTATTTATTGCCAGAGTGGTCTGCTGGTAGCCTGCAGTTTCCCACCTTCAAGTGTACTGGTAATCTTATAAATGACAATCTGGTAAAGAGCCTGCCTGGCTTTTCAGTACACCTGTGAGTGCTCTGTTATTATGGAAATGGCAATCCAAACAGACAGGCAGGGGTCACACCAATCAGGTTGTGGGGTGTGTGTGTGTGTGTGTGTGTAGTGTCTGTCTGGAGTTTCCTTTTAGCAGGCAAACTTTGGGTGTCAAAGTGATATACTTATTCCCCTGACAGTGTTGAGACCATCTGGGTTTGTTGGATAACTGGGGGGGGGGGGGGGGGGGGGGGGGGGGGGAGGTGATCTCCAGGGAAGCCTTTTTGTGTTTTTGACCATACTCAGCTGCTGGTTAAGGCTTCCTGGAAGCCACTTAGGATGTTACTAACCAAATCAAGAGATCCTGTTCAGTGGTGAGTGAATGCTCATGTCTTAGTGGGCTAAAAGCTATCTAAATTCCCTGTCTTGAGGCTTCACTTTGATGCACTGCTGTTTTTAAACCTCAGTGCCATTAATAACAGGAATGCTCTTTTAAAACTAAATGTGACCGGTTCTCTGTTTTCCTTGGGTAGATGAGCCAGGGGAGTAAATTCCCTGTAATTGACATTTACCTTCCTGGCTTTTTGTTGTTGTTGTTGTTTGTTCTAAACCTATCTGCTGGGAGTGAAGGACTGGAAACTTTTTTATGCAAATTTAAGTAAAATTATAAAGATGATTCTTTTGACCCTGTAACAACATAATTATTTCCACAGAGTTGTGGATGTAATTGTTAATTTTAAAAAATGGTCACATTACCATAGACACTATTGGAAGCCATTCAGGTTTCTCAAGATTGGAGATTAATCCATGGTAAGAACTTGGAGATGTGTGGTCCGGGAAAGGACTGATACTGCTGGTAGATTTCAATAGTCTATTTGAGGGTTCTTAACACAGTGGGTTCACTTTATATATACCTTTAATAGTAAATCGATAGTTGAAAAGTGATATTTCTGATGTTTCTCAATCTCCCACCATGTTTTAATCAAAGTTGTTGCTTGTTAAAGAGTTGAAAGGCTGAGAAACAGGAACACTATTAAATAGTAAATGATTACTGATTATGAAAACCATATAAACCCAAACTCTACTGTTCAAGGACTGACATTAATACACTGGTAACTAGATGTACCATTCTGTTCTCTGTTGAGTGTTCCTTTTAAGAGAAAGAGATAGAAAAGTGGTACTGCTAAAATGCTCATCAGAAAGGCTATTAAGGTCTTCGTCTACTTGCTGCAGATCCTATTTCTGAAGGAACAATTGTTTTATTAGCATCTGTTAAAAAAGTTTGTCTTTAAATCACAGACTACAGAAGCAGAATGAAAAGATAGGAGTTAAATTAATAGAAGAGGAGTGTCCAAACAAGACAAATTCTAAGGCATGTCGGCTCATTTTAATTACACTTCACAAGTTGAGACTGAAGTCATGTGCTTCTTTCAGAGAAAAACAATCTTGCCCAATCTGAATTTTGCTGTTCTGCACACGTTTGTAAAGATTAGGCATTAAAATAATAACACTGATTTTCAGAAGTTTGAATAGAATGATGAAGAATAGTTGACTGGTCCTATTGAGTCAACAGTCAAAATGACAAATATATATGATTAAAATAAACAGATTAAAGAATTCCAAGCAGTGACAACTATACTAGTTGGTAGGGGAAAAGAACAGCACCATGAAAATCAAAGCTTTTGAGACCCTCCACAAATGAAGTGTAAAGGGTGGATCTTTGAATAAAAAGAGTAGGGGTATTGCAGTATCAAAAACTATTTATATGAGCTCCTTAGATGTGATTTTGGATTTTTCAGTATGGGTTGCATAAATGCTTTGTTTTCAAAAGAAGACATTTCCTATGTATAACTCCAAAAGAAGCAGCTGTAATCACTTCACCACCAGTCAGCTTCCTAAATATACCACAGGTCCTTAATTTAGAGCTGTTAACAGGATTAATATCTAAGTGATAATTAACACATTAAACCTGTGAAAGTAGGAGGACTTTTTTTTTTTAAACTCCACTTTTAATTCTAGAAATCTATTGTCAGTTTCATAGGACTCTGGTTTTGCAGATCTGAAATCATTGGCACCCTTGCTTTAAGATAAACATTTTATTCACCCTTTAAAACTTCTCCATTAATTGAGATTATCTTGTTGATGGTTTTAGTGGGAAAATAACAGTGAATAATCACGAATAGTAAACAGTGACTATTGATGAAATGAGGGGTATTGAGTACAGTTCCCTGGTAAGCTTGTTTGTACCTCTTGAGAAAGAAGGAAATAGGAGTCCTGGTAATGGAACTCCTAGGCTCATGCTTTCATTTTGAGTCATGATTCCAGGAGAGGACCATTCATGCAAAATATTTACACGTAGTTATTTTTCTGCTTTATAATCTACTGTGATTTCTAATGAGCATTCTATAGCTACTAGATCAAGCGTTTGAGAGGGAAATAGAATATTAGTGAAATTTTAGTTACTTCATACCTTTTGGTGAAATTGTGAAACCAACTCTGAAGGTATTATAGAATAGAGTTTCGCAGCGTGCATGTCAGTGTTATTGCTGGAGGGGAGGAGTTAAACAATTCAGTCATCTGGTACACATTAGAGCTATATATTTTAAGAGTGTAAACATGCTGGTATGAATAGAGACATTTGAGAGCATTATGAAATTTGTATTACTTTTTTCGTCATTATGTATTTTCACAACATGTTCCAAAAGCACAACTTTTTGCTAAAATGTGGAAATCTAGAATTTTTGGAAGTTTAAAAAAGAGGTCTTCATAGCAGAAAAGATTATACATTAACCTAGATGTGGGGAATTGGTGAAAATATGGAAATGTTTCCTGTATGGAACAGTAGGCTATCATTTTTAAACTTGTTTTTTTTTTTTTTGCAGCAAGGGCCGTGATTTATCTTTTGATTTTGCCTCTCTAGGCATATTTTAATTGTGAATCTCTTATAATTAAATGTGCTGTAGCTAAAAACAGAATCCTACACAGCTAATGCACAAACAATTCTTTAGTTCCTTGACTGGTAAGAAGCTTGTTGCTCTGTTCCACTTGCCTGCATGAGGATTGGCTGCAAATTTGTGCCCAAGTGTTATGTTAGCAAACAGTTCATTACTTCCAGAGGAATCACAATGTTGAAAAAAGCTCTAGACTTCACGGCAGTTAGGCAGGATTGGTCTTAGACTGTAGTTTTGTAGTAATGCATATTTTAATTTTGTGTTCTTTCAAATGGTTATTTCAAAAAGCAAACCATGGAGTATGCATAAATGAAGGATTTAATTATAGTAAGATTAAGACTTGCAGTAATCTCTTGCAGAATTTGCTTCTGGGCTCTCTTGTATTGATTTCTACCTTTTGTGCTTACATTAGACATATTCAGGGAGATCTGGCCAGTGTGCATTGATACAGCCTTACAGGATGTAAAAGTATTGAAGTATTTCTGTGCTATTAGGTAAATGGGTACTCTCTGAACTCCCACCCTCCCCACCCCCCATAGATGCCATTTCCTGGGTGTCCTACAGAACACCATTTGGCCACTTCTTGATATAGTCACTAAGAGTATTAACTCACTTGGCATGACAATGGAGCCTTGGGTCCTGCTCCAGGGATATTGTCAGAATATTCTAATTGGTTTGTGCCTGACACTACCAGTTGGCAAATATTTTTAATATTATTCCTTGGTATTTTTACTTATAAATGTAACCATTGGCATTGTGCATAATTTAACTTGAAATTTGTTTACATTTACATTTTAGT